GGGGGGGGGGGGGTGGAAACGCCCGCCCATATATTAATATGACACCGCGTCCGGTTTAAACTAGCAGACATTGCTTGAGACAGGTCTTGCCTGCTGAGGCTTGGCAAACGTTGCAGACTCAGAGTTTGTCTTGAGGTTGCGACGGCAAGATTGCGACAGCTCTGGACACTGGACATGGTAGACGACTTTCACGACTGGTGAGGAACTTCAGTGTGATCCAGGGCAACACTGTTGGCAGGAACTGTGCAGGGTTGCGGGTCTTGTGTACAACCGGTGACTCCAGAAATCCCCGCCTTCAAGGACCTTCCGCACTGTCCACGGTTCCCTGGCTGCAGGGTGAACAGGCTGTCCGTGTGGGGGTGGACGGTTCTCGTCAGGCGAACTGGTTAGCGAGTCAGCTGACGCAGGGGTCGCGACCTTGGATAAACGAGTCGCTTGACGGTGAAGCTGTGATGGTGGGCGATCGTCAAAGGTCTATGCAAAGGCTTGGAAGGCCGTTTTCGACAAGGGCACTTTCCGTTCGGCCGGCCTGTTTCCGCACGCAAGCGCCATCCAGCGCCTCTCGGCATCCCGAAGAACTACTTCGCAGATCTCAGAATGCGTGCATCAAGCGGAGCTGCGTGCCGCCCACGCGCAGTCCACTTCCAGCAAAGCATTCCTCATGGCTCGGTTTGTGTTTAGCAACCTTGTGGTTTTGTCGTGCTCTGAGCCAGAAGGCCACTCTCTGGTGACTCTTGCGGTTTCGCACAGAGTGTGAATGTTACGGTGAGGCTGGTGATGCTTATGCTTGCGTTTGGGCACACTTTGGCGAGAAGCATCCGGCTGTTCAACCTTTCTTACCAACTCGAAATGTCAGTCGTGCCATCATCGGCAGGCGATGCCGTACGGGTTTGAAGTTGCTTGCTTGCTGAACGCGTGTGATCCTAAACCTTCCGCGGAACAGTTCGAACGAAGTGCTGGCATTGGCTGTCCCCCCGCTCCTACAGTGGTGGTACAGTAGTAGTACTATGCATCAGCAAAATCCGATGAGTCAATGAGCATCCAGCAATCCAAAAAAAAGGCGATCGCGTCCGTTTGATGCTCCGTGGCCCCCTCGATCTGTGACTCGCATGGGGTCACATCTTGGCCACTTGCTGGTCGGCTGCACCTACGTCTCCAATTCAAGAGGACAAGGAAGGATTCCAGCTGCCACAGACTGGCTCTATGAATCACTCAGCGCTGCGCTGCAAATCATTTCCGAGCGGACTGTTCGACAAACCCACTTAGAGCTTCTATTTTCCCCCCCTGCCAGGCTCGTTTGATTGGATTCTGAAGCTGGACGTTGGTGTTGTTGTTGCTCCTGAACGTCTTCGGAGTGCTTCAGCCCGAGATTTCAGACCCAGATGCCTACATGGCTGCTGTGCTGCTGTCTGCGGCCTGCTCGAAATCTTGCTGAGGCTTTGAACGCCCTGTGTCCGCCATCGGATTGCGGAGCGAAAATCGTTCACAACTTTGGTGGGGCTCCTGTCTCAGCTCTACCGTGCTACAGGGTCCAGCAGTTTGTGCGGTGTCGCCGGCCCTTTGGAGGACTTGCTGGGGCCTGTGGAAGCAATGAGTACAAAAGCTGCCACAACGCTGGCAGACGGCTGCAGCCTCAGGGTGCAGAGTTGCCCGACAAGCATCAAAATTCTCGCAGCACCTTCTTTTGTCCAAGGCATTCACAGCTGCACGAACACCGCAAGATGGGAGAGCCAACCCGAGAACCGATGGCTGTCTTCATGTGTCAGTGCGCTACGCAGAGAGCCAGTAGATTTGTCTACGTGCTTTGGAAACAATAGCTGTCCATGCAGGTCTCGGTCTCGCACAAGACACTGCGACTAGAAAGGTACACTGGGCATTGGATCTGTGCGATCATCTCTCCTTCTCGCGGACCACAAGGCAATTTCGAAGTCATCACCCTCAGCAAAGTTTGGTAAGTACCGGACAGGCTAGCCCTCGGCCCTGCGACACACTGCACGGCTCCTTCAGTCCATACATGTCCGTGTGCTCAGACATGCCGGAACGACCTTGCATGATCGTGCAACTCGGTGATCCTGCTGGCTCAGGGACCTTGGCTTTCATGCACTCTGTCTGAAGCAATCGGGATACTACTTCATAGAACCCCCGCCAGCGCCTGAGCAATTCGGTGCACCCTCGCACAGCTCAATGGCTTTCTTGGCGCCAGGCCGACCACAACCCTCACTCGTACCATAACAAGGCGACGAGACAGGGCTGCTTCAGTGCGGTTTCAATTGACTTACAAGATGGGCATCCACCCTGGGGAGAGACAAGGGGTAAGGCGACCAGTGGAAGTCTTTTGGAGATTCAGCCTCGGATCCACGCGCGCGGGCGCGCGCGCAGTGTGGACTGTGAGTAAAAGCCGCGCGCTCCGTACCGTACTGTAAGTTCCACACCCTGCCTGGGGTACTTAACTTCTCGACTGCAGTGCGTGCCGCCCGACGATGCTAGCCTTCGAGACAACCGTTCGTTGCTTTGCCAGTACTTCGTCAACTTCAACTTCTGCAACGTTTACCACTTCTACTGCCACTGCCTTACCGGATGTTTAAGACATGAGACATCACATGGGGGACGAAGTTGGCCTGCAGCGCTGAACGAGCAAGGCCACAACTACAACCATGACTTCTACAGGCCCTCGTCCGCACTTGCATAAGCCCTGAGCCTGGGAGCAAGATGGCCGCAAGCTTTTCGGACCCTGGCAGTTCCCAAAGTGGCGCCGAACAGCATCTTCGCTTTCGAAGGCATTTTGGGGAAGCGTCCCCTCGAGCCGTTAGCCGTCCGTCAGTTTGCCGCACCAGGAAGATCTTTCCAGAAGAAGCTGCCTGTTTGGGTGCTCACTGCCGAGAACGAGCAGCGTGGAATTCCCTTTGCTGCTTGACTTGGCCACAGCTCGCTCTCAGACTTCAGCCCTCGCGAGCAACGTAACACTCCCATTCGCTGTCCTTCTACGTCTGCTTCGTGTGTTCTCTCCTGGTACACTCAGGCTCTGGAGCTTGCAGGTGGTCTACTGGCACTGATTGCATTGCCCGTGGCCGGCTGGTTCCTCTGGAACTGGAAGCTGACACACTGCACTTGCACGAGCTTGCGCAGCTCCTAGGCGTCTACTACTCTCGCCGATCCGCTGGGTGCAAGACCCAACACCATCTCGGTTCAACATGCTTAGGCTTGGTGTGTGCATGCTCGAGGCCCACCGTGGTGCCCGAGGAGCCTCAAGACACCGGCGAGGACGGGAAGGGAAGGGAAAAGCGAGTGAAGCGCCAGCCAAGCGGTAACTCATGGAGCCAGGCCTTGCTGACAGGCCCAGCGGGCCCGACCGCATGAGGACGAGCCTCATGAAGACGCGAGTCCGTGCCGCAACACGGCGCATGTGTACTGGATGTAGTGGCATACGGTGGCCTGGTAGGAGCTGAAACTAGCTCCCTCGCCGGGAATTTGGGACAAAGGCTAAAGAGGTCTGTAAGTCACAAAGATGGTAGGACCTCGTGAGCCGCCTGTCGAAAAAGGAGGGCCTTTCAAGAGACGTTTGGATAGCATGGTCCGGGCATGTCCGGGCTGCAAGGATTCCTTGATTTGGCAACCACGCGTGTGCCATCGTGATTTACTGTGCCGTGTTGCGCCGCAGGATTCTTTAATGAAGGCTCAAGAGCATGACCTCGCGCGGTCGTCGCTGAGGCGCGGCAGCCCGGCAAGCGCCTTGCATCATTCGCCTTGGCACATCTCACTGTCCGGCCCAGCACTGTCTTTGCCATTGACAACTCTTGCGAGGGATGCAGAATGGAGATCATATGGAGGACGCTGCTGCATGCTGCTGCTTTCAGAGCATGCTCAGGGCTTGCAAAGTCTGCTGCAGGACGACTGCGCGGGCGCAGGCACAATGAATGAACTGAGAAGTGAGAAGCCCTTGAAAGAAGCTTTTCAATCTTCCAGCGCAGCGGGCAGCGCAGGCGGGCGGCCGAGCGGATACGTCCCGAGCCCGTGCCCCAGCGTCCGACGCAGCCCAGCATTGAGCAAGGATAGGGCTCGTTGGAGGCGGAGCGACTGGTACCACCGCGGTCAGGGAGCAGCTGTCTTCTGTGAAGAAGGCAGCAGCATGAAGGCTTTTCTGCAGCTTGGACTCGAATTCCACAACTGCCAGGAGTTGGACTTCATCTTGCAGCAGCTACGCGGGCCAGGCGATTTTCTGACACCCACACAAGCAAAGCTCCCATCACAGATGTGCGGAGACGCGAGGTGGGCAGGTTCAGAGAATAGATCTCCAGGAAGTTGAGCGCCTGGTGAAGCACCTTGAGGCGCGGCAGACGAGGATTTCTCGCGTCGTCCAGTTTCGGCTTCAGCTTGTGCGAGGTCGATCGAGGTGAGCTTGCCAAGCGCTGCCAGCGACTGGCGGAGGAGAACCAGGCCAGTGAACATGATCAACTCTTCTTTTGCACGGGCGACTTGCGACGCAGTCCGTCCGGGGACGGTGCAAGACAGCATGCAGCTAAACTTGCATCTAAACCTTGGAGATGCAGCAGGGAAGGGAGCTTCTGTGAGAGATATTGCCTAGATTTCATGGAGCTATCAAATTGCAGAAGGCTAAAGCCGCGTGAACTTGAGGCAATAGCAGCTAGAAGTCCCCGCGCTGCAATGCCAGGACCTGAAGGAGGCGAATCGTCACTTGGAGGCCGCCTCCTTCCAGTTCTCAGCGTCATGAAACATGGCGACAGCTTGCATCCAGCCGGAAATACTGTGGGAGCCAAGCCGGCTGCGCCACGGCCACGAATGCTTGTGAGGTGGATCTGTCGGCAGCTCGGCGTGAGCTGGAAAATTCCAGGAGGCCGCGGGCGGACCCTTACCGCCGTCACCGTTTGAGTGCCATCTGCTGCCATGCGAGGCAACTGCGGCATCAGCAGATCGACCTTCAGTTAAAAGCAGGCAGGCGACCTCTGAGACACAGATGTCAGCGAGTCTGAGGTACATGCCTGCTTGTTCTGAGGCGCTTCTGAGCAGCAAGAGGCAGAGGATGAACAGCCCTCCGCAACGGCCTCAGACAGGAACCTCAAAACTCAAGCTCATGGAATACCACAGCCGCTGTGTTGGAACGAGCCAGCAAACAACAAAGACTGTGTCCACACTTCGCTCCTGAAATTTGAGGCAGAGGAACGCCTCACACAGGAGTCCCTGGAGGTCAGATCTTCGCAGCCTGCAAGATCCCCTGCGGTATCTGCGGTATCATCCAGGCGCTCCAAGCTGCCATGGCTTCCCCTGGATCCTCCAGGTTGGGGCGCTCCTCTAGGCCCTGGGCCCTTTGCCGTGATTTGCTGGAGCTCTTTCAGGCAGATGTCCAGAAGCGAGCTCACCCGAGCGCTTCGGGCAACCCAGGAGCGCAGCTCCGAGCCACAAAGCATTCTCGTTGCGACAAGCTGCAGGAAGAGCTTGCCATACAAAGAGCTCGGAACCAGAAGCTGGAGCAGCGCCGGATACGTGTTAGGGTCTCAGTTTGGAGCCAAAGAGTCATTCACTGAAGATGGGTAGGCTATCGGTGCTCCAAGCTGGAGACCTTTACACGGAAGCATGTGGTTGCGTGCTGCTGAGGACAGTCAGCGCTGTGAGATGCTTGCGGATGCAGCCGAGCGGCAGAGACTGGACTGCCGCAACCAGAAAGGCGCCAGAGCTTCCCCTCACCTTCATCGCCATGCAGGAGATCACAGCGATGCGGCTCGGTAAGCAGCGGAAGCTCGCCGCCCATCCGCAGGCACATTTTTGTTTGCCAAGTTTTAAGGCACAGCTATGCAGTCACTGTCCTGTCGCATGCAGACCAAAGGCATAATGTGGCATCAAGATCCTCAAGCACCCCGAATTCCCTTAAGCAACTGGAAGGGGTTGTTATGTGCAGCAACACTACGGCCTGCCAGACGGTCCACAAGCCCAAGATGCTCCATAACCTGGCGCAGAGACCTTTGTTATTTGTGATGTCTTGAACCTCGTTTTGCATCATGAGAGCGATGCGGTGCACGCAGTGCAGTCTGTTGCAAGACTCTCTCGGCCGGGCTGAGGCATACCATGCCGGCTGCAGCCTCATTATCATGTTGCGCTGAAGCACGCTCGGCCGTTGTCTTGTAGTGCCTGGCATATCCGAGCCTTGCGCAAAGAGGGACCTCCCCTCTCAGGTCAGCCGCGAGGTCAGGCCATGGGCCGGAGGCTGTCAAGCACACGCACTGCGAATCTTAACGCGCGAGGGCTTTAGTGCAGCTGTTTCGTGAAGGGCAACTGTCTATGCAGGTGAGGCATCTGGAGTTCCGAGATCCAACTCGGCACACGCCTCAGAGTTTAGAGATACAAATACAGCACGATTATTTCGGCTGTTCGTGCATTGTTCGTGCATCTGCTTCAGGACTTTGGGCGCCTTCCACGGATGAAGGGTCGAGACATACCCTTGTAGTGTAATTGAAATTAGATTTCAGTTTGCATTAGAAGGCCGACCTGCCAAAGGCAGAGTTTGAAAAGGTTTCACCATAAGTCAAAGATCAGAAAGCTCAGATCAACAAGGAGGTCTTCGACATGGCAGTGGGGCGTCGATGTCGATTTGTGGCAGGGTGTTTTGTCCTGCTGGTCCTGCTTTCTCTGAGACTTCCACCTGGTACCACAGTCCATGGGCAGGACAACCTTCACAGGCGGAGGTCACACTATGCCAGCCTGGGCGGTTAAGCACGTCGAAGAGATGGGAAGAGGCTTTGATCAAAGGTGGACCGCAAGTAGTGCAACGGTGCCAGCTACATATACTTATACATGGCTAAGTAGCAGATGTGGCACAACACCAACTGCGACACAAAATCGGACCAAGAGACCTTTGCAGCTGGATTGCCATGGCCGTGGCACCTTCTTCCAGCTCTTGGCAGGGATGAGCTCAACAATCGAGGCTTGGAAGAAGCTGCAGAGAGAGCGAGCGAGGGAGGGAGTGCCCGAGCACGGTGCCCTTTCATTCCGACAGGCCCATACTCTGGCCAGAACCGATGTCTTGGAGGCAGGCAGAT